TGTGGCATACAGAGCCATCAGTGAATTGATATACCTACATTATTATTTTTATTATTTACATGTTTAACATAATTTCCATTTAGTACAGCTCGTGTTCAGAGTGTGGTTAAAATTGTCTGTGTTTTATGATAAGGAAAGGTTGGTTTATTGTTTTAAAAATGTAACATCATTCAGAAGTATGTATCTAACTACGACCAGCAGGACGAGCGCGTTCGCTACACTGTGTTCGGGGACAAGGGAAGTCTCGCGTGAACACGTTCAGAGAACGAGAACACATACGTGAGTGAAATTACTGTGTGTGTGTGTGGCGAACGAGGATGATAAAAAACATATGTTTGCTCTTTACAGGTAAGAAGGGAGAGTTACAATTGTGTAAGTGAGCGGTGAATATGTTGTGTCGTAGTTTATGGTGTTTATGGCGTTATATGTAGTATTGTTTATGAACGTTACTTGGTCAGCGAAAGTAACGTACCGAAAACGGCTGTTGGGACTGGTTGCTTAGTTACCTCAAGCGAGTCGGAGGATGGAGAGTAAAACTAGGAGCCGGTCTAAAGAGCCCGGACTGCTCGTGTCTAGTTCATAAATAAATACATAAATAACTTAAAATAGATACATGGTTGATTTGATTAAGTTGACAATGTTTGGTATACATGATTGGCTGACTGTGTATTTGAAAAACAAGTTGATATTGAATGTACATGATGAAAATGGTCTGGGATAGCAATACAACGGACGTGATTTATTGTTTGGACGTTAGTGTATATGTTCATCATTTTTCTGTGTTCGAATGTCAAACGTTGAGAGAACGAGAACACATACGTGAGTGAAATTACTGTGTGTGTGTGTGGCGAACGAGGATGATAAAAAACATATGTTTGCTCTTTACAGGACAAAATAAACACTTTTCAAATTAAATGTGTAGTGGAGGACAGCTTCACTCTGCACCACGCTACACAGTCACATGTCAAAACCACCAAACATTTTGTACTTGGCTATGAAGGCAAAAACAAAAAGTAAAAGTGTCTTTCTTGTGCAAATATGAGATAAAAGAGAGAATGATTAGATATGACCCACAATTCAAGCAAGATTCCAAAAAACTGACCCAGTACATATCAATTTGGGGTCTTTGAACACAACTTCACAACTTTAAAGGTCCCATATTGTATAAAATGAGATCTCCATGTCCATTCTGATGACAAAGCAGGTCTAGGTTTCATTGTGTAAACATAGGCCTACATATGCACATAGAACATAAATGTGTAAATAGTTAACGATATAAACACTAAATATATTTTTTAAAAATCAACTCAAATACACAGTATGAATTCATATCTACAATCAATCTTACAGTGTCTGTAAAGTCCAGAGAGCTGCAGCTGATTCAATGTCAATGTAAGATGGAGAGAGTGGACCACATTGTTCCAGTTCTCAGAACTTTACACTGATGTCCTGTTTGTCAAATAATTGACTTTAAGAATACACCTGTTTGTTTATAAAACACTGAATGGTTTAGGGAAAAAATACATTTGTTATGACCTGTCCAGATATCTCAGGTGGTCTGGGACAGGTCTGTTTGCTGTCCCCAGAGTCCAAACTAAACAAGGTGACGCAGCATTCAGTTTTTATGCATCACATAAAGGTCTGTTCCAACTCTAGTTCTTTAAATCAATACTTAAATCTTTGCTATTTAGTATTTATTTATTTGTTATTTCAATTTCTATTCCATTTGTTTTCTTACTACCCTTTTTATGTCTTATGTTATTTAAAGGTGATATAGAAATGAGGAAGAAACAGACAAAAGAAAAACCCTCTGTGAGACTCACTGCTTGACACAAAGTAACAACAAACACCCCACCCAGTAAACATGTTGGAGTGCTGTTGGTGCCCCCCTCAGGCCAATCAGCGTAATGCATCCCTTCTGTGCATGCAAATGCACAGAAGGGATGCACGCAAGCCTGGCGCACTTTACACATCTGAGAAGGCATCCAAACCACAAAAAGTGGAACAAAGTTCAACCACAAAATGGCTGAAGATGTTCTAGTAAAATCCCTTTGGGTAATCTAAGGCCAGCGGAAAATTCTAAGAGCTGCTGGACAACTGTTTGAACTCTGGTAAATGTTTCCACCTTCATGCAAAATCTGAGAAATATGTCAAGTGAACGATCTCAATGTGAAATGTCAAATCAGAGCTTCTCACTTCCTTTTGTGCGACAATTGACACCCACAAATATGCACTACCTGGTAAAGACTGCTTCCGCTGAAGGAGTAGCTTCTTTATCTTCGACCCCTTTACTGAAACTGCCATCACACTGGAAGAGTCTGAGCACCGGAGGGTGAAGGATGTTCAAGTTTTACGTGCTCTTGATTCACCTCTTTGGAGCCTGTAAGTCATTACGTATTCTGTTTTTTCAAGCTAGAAATGATTATTATCCGTACAGAAGACTTTTGAGACAATTTAAATGTGTACAGTCAATCTTTCTCTTTCAGATGGTGCTCTGCTCTACGCTAACCTTGGAGACAATGTGACTTTACTATGTTTCTCCAGTGTCAGAAACCTGTGTTGGTACAAGCAGGTTGCAGGGGAACAACCTCAAATAATTTCCTCTTTCTACAAACATTCATTCTACAACATCTTTTACAACCAGTTTAAAGACGACAAACGATTTTCAGTTCACACTGGAGCAGGATTCTATCACCTGAACATTTCTAATGTCCAGGACTCAGATTCAGCCATGTACTACTGTGGACAAACCAGTATTACAGTCACTGAATTTAGCAATGGAACATTTTTGGTTGTCAAAGGTGATTTGCTTCAAGTTTTAGATTTTTGTCATCACACTTTCTGCATTTAATGTCCTCCTTTTCTCTTTCTAACATCTTATTTCTGTTCTTTCCAGAGTCCAGCTGCAGGTCTTTCCTCCAGCAGCCGCTGTCTGAGTCTGTGCAGGCAGGAGGCTCCGTGAGTCTGAACTGCACGGTGCACACTGGGACCAGTGACGGAGAACACAGCGTTTACTGGTTCAGAAAGGATACAGGAAAGTCCCACCTGGGGATCTTGTACGTCCACACACACAGCAGCAGTCGGTGTGTGAAGGCTGCAGGGTCTGAGTCTCCTGCACAGAGCAGGTGTGTGTACAATTTATGGAGAAGGAGCGTGAGCCTGTCTGATGCTGGGACGTACTACTGCGCTGTGGCTTCCTGTGGAGAGATACTGTTCGGGGAAGGAACGAGACTGGAGGCTGAAGGTGAGCAAAACATGTTTTAAAAATGATCTCCATTTGTTCCCCTTCATTTCATGTGATGTATTTACAACTAATATCACAAATCCATCCATAAAAAGTCTGCACTTTTTAATTTCAAAGACAACAAACGTCTGCATCCTGGGACATGGTGTCTTGTGTAAAATCCAAGCTGCTTCTTTTTTAATCCAATTTTTTCCTTAGTCTACATTGGATTTTACATGACATTTACATTTTTATTACTTTATTTTTCTCAGAGAAACAGTACACTCTTCCTGTCTTGCTGTGGTGTGTGGTTGCAGCTCTACTCTTGTCTTCTATGTTGAACATCATCCTCGTCTATATCCTCTGCAAAATGACCACTAGAAGATATCTGCAGTCCGAAGGTGAATGAACTAATTTTAACCAAAGAAGAAGTCTGATTTCACCGAGTGGTATTGAGCCATGCAGATTGTTTTGGTTTTTAGACTGGTCAGTTGATTAAATCTGATTTTTTTTTAAGGGTCACATTCCCAGCAGAGTGTTGCAGTATACACCACTGAAACTCAGGTTAGCTCAAAATATATCCTCCCTACATGAGTGGCGTTTCTTTGTGTGCGGACCCATCCTGTAATTTACTGCAGTTTTCTTGTTTTCCTGCAGAGTGAGCAGTCTGACGCTGTGCAGTACGTAGCTGTGGACTACAGGAAGAAGCAAAGCAAGAGCAGGAAGCAGAGGAGCAAAGAGGAGGAGACGGTTTACTCTGGAGTCAGACTGACAGAGCTGGAGTGAGGAACCACGACTGCTGCTGCTTCTTTCTGACTCTTGTAACTTCAGTCAGTATTAATATCTGATATGAGATCAGTGGAAATGCATTTGATTATCTTTCATCCTTTAAAGTATATTCTGAAAAAGTGACACACTCTTTTTTTTCTGTATTTTTGGACCATATGTATCGTTATTGCTTCTTAAAAGGCTCTGGTTTCTATAGCAACATAAATGATGTACGCTTGTACATTTTTATTCCTAAAAAGACACTGTCCTCATCAATGGGTTTACTGTCATTGTTCCTGTTTTCATCACTATGCATCAGTGGTTGTCAAACTTTTCAGAAAAAAGCTGACACCCCCCCGACTCAGCAATTTGTTATCATTTACTAACATTGACAGGAGGAGCAACTAATATAAAGGACAAACTGTATGTTGAACTTTAGTGAACTAAAGGTTAGCATGATAGCATTTCTCTGCATACATCATATTCATTTAACTATGTCTCACTCCATTTTCCTCTGGTCATCCATGCCCCCCCCAGTTTGAGAACCACTGCTAAACATGTATGTATTGAAACTGTATAATCTAAACTGGCAGGGGAGCTAGCATAGCTTGAGGTGGTCTTACGCTCCTTTTAAGGTCCGACTACAGCTAAAGGGGTATTCCAACTATCTAGTACCAAGTGCTTCGTGTGTGTGTGTGTGTGTGTGTGTGTGTGTTAGTATGTACATGCATAACTGTACGTGCATATATGTATGTATGTGCAAGTGTAGTATTTTTGGTCTAAGTAGTTTCTCACACATGCACGCAAGCCTGGTGCACTTAATACATCTGAGGAGGCAAACAAACCACAAAGAGTGGAACAAAGTTCAACCAAAAATTGGCTGAAGATATTCTAGTAAAATCAATTTCAGTCAGTGGAAAATTCTAAAAGCGGCTGCTGGACAAATGTTTGCAACCTCGAAAACATCTCCATCTTAATGCAAAATCTGAGTAACGTGTGAAATGAACTACCTCTGTATTAAGCCTCAAATCAGAACTTCTCACTTCCTTTTACGCGACTGTGCACCCACAAATATGCACTACCTGGTAAAGACTGCTTTCCGCTGAAGGTGTAGCTTCTTTATCTTCGACCCCTTTACTGAAACTGCCATCACACTGGAAGAGTCTGAGCACCGGAGGGTGAAGGATGTTCAAGTTTTACGTGCTCTTGATTCACCTCTTTGGAGCCTGTAAGTCATTACGTATTCTGTTTTTTCAAGCTAGAAATGATTTGAATCTTAAGAAAGCACCTTGAAATTGTTATTCAAAATCCTGAGAGAAGACTATTACAACTATTTTAATGTGTACAGTCATATTTTCATCCAATGGCCATTGATTTATCTTTCTCTTTCAGATGGTGCTCTGCTCTACGCTAACCTTGGCGACAACGTGATTTTACCTTGTTTCTATTCTTCCAGTGCCAAAAACCTGTGTTGGTACAAGCAGGTTGCAGGGGAACAACCTCAAATAATTTCCTCTTTCTACAAACATTCATTCTACAACATCTTTTACAACCAGTTTAAAGACGACAAACGATTTTCAGTTCACACTGGAGCAGGATTCTATCACCTGAACATTTCTAATGTCCAGGACTCAGATTCAGCCATGTACTACTGTGGACAAACCAGTATTACAGTCACTGAATTTAGCAATGGAACATTTTTGGTTGTCAAAGGTGATTTGCTTCAAGTTTTAGATTTTTGTCATCACACTTTCTGCATTTAATGTCCTCCTTTTCTCTTTCTAACATCTTATTTCTGTTCTTTCCAGAGTCCAGCTGCAGGTCTTTCCTCCAGCAGCCGCTGTCTGAGTCTGTGCAGGCAGGAGGCTCCGTGAGTCTGAACGGCACGGTGCACACTGGGACCAGTGACGGAGAACACAGCGTTTACTGGTTCAGAAAGGATACAGGAAAGTCCCACCTGGGGATCTTGTACGTCCACACACACAGCAGCAGTCGGTGTGTGAAGGCTGCAGGGTCTGAGTCTCCTGCACAGAGCAGGTGTGTGTACAATTTATGGAGAAGGAGCGTGAGCCTGTCTGATGCTGGGACGTACTACTGCGCTGTGGCTTCCTGTGGAGAGATACTGTTCGGGGAAGGAACGAGACTGGAGGTTGAAGGTGAGCAAAACATTATCTCCACTTGTTCCCCTTCATTTCATGTGATGTATGTACAACTAATATCACAAATCAATCCATAAAAAGTCTGCACTTTTTAATTTCAACGACAAGAAACATGTCTGCTTGGTGTCTACATTGGATTTTACATGACATTTACATTTTTATTACTTTATTTTTCTCAGAGAAACAGTACACTCTTCCTGTCTTGCTGTGGTGTGTGGTTGCAGCTCTACTCTTGTCTTCTATCTTGAACATCATCCTCGTCTGTATCCTCTGCAAAATGGCCACTGGAACATATCTGCAGTCCGAAGGTGAATGAACTAATTTTAACCAAAGAAGAAGTCTGATTTCACCGAGTGGTATTGAGCCATGCAGATTGTTTTGGTTTTTAGACTGGTCAGTTGATTAAATCTGATTTTTTTTTTTAAGGGTCACATTCCCAGCAGAGTGTTGCAATATACGTAGCTGTGGACTACAGGAAGAAGCAAAGCAAGAGCAGGAAGCAGAGGAGCAAAGAGGAGGAGACGGTTTACTCTGGAGTCAGACTGACAGAGCTGGAGTGAGGAACCACGACTGCTGCTGCTTCTTTCTGACTCTTGTAACTTCAGTCAGTATTAATATCTGATATGAGATCAGTGGAAATGCATTTGATTATCTTTCATCCTTTAAAGTATATTCTGAAAAAGTGACACACTCTTTTTTTTCTGTATTTTTGGACCATATGTATCGTTATTGCTTCTTAAAAGGCTCTGGTTTCTATAGCAACATAAATGATGTACGCTTGTACATTTTTATTCCTAAAAAGACACTGTCCTCATCAATGGGTTTACTGTCATTGTTCCTGTTTTCATTACTATGCATCAGTGGCTGTCAAACCTTTCAGAAAAAAGCCGACACCCTCTCCGACTCCACAATTTTTTTCATCAATCACTAACATTGACAGGAGGAGCAACTAATATCAATCTCAAACTTTTCAATAAGATCAGCCTCAACATTGTGTAATTTAAACTGGCAGGGGAGCTAACATGGCTTTAGGTGCTTTCTTCACAGACTGAGTAGTTCTCTTCATGTCAACCGAACTGAGCGTCATCTCTGGCCCTCTAAACTCAGCGTAAGGCCTCGTTTGTGTGTTCTCAGTAGTTGTGTGCAGTTTGGCTCATGGCCAGCAGGGGGCAGCAGACCACCTACCATAGAAATAACATCAGCGCTACATCATGATGCTTAAATACCTTTTGCTGTTGCCGTGACCACCAGACAGCTAAGTATGGAAAGATAAGTTATTCAAAGCAAACACACTGCAGAGAGAGGCTGAAGAAGTGCGTGTGTGGTGTGTGTCCTGTTTGTTCATAACTCGCTGAAGCCTCCACACCACAGACTGCTGTGGTCAACTGACATATAAAGCCTCCGTCTACACTCTGTTAAAGCGCCCGAGGGGCCGTCAGGACCGTGACAGCAACAGTTCTCATCCTTTTGTTTTTCAGCTGAAGACTTAGGTAAAAATGACCTCTATTGTCATGAAATTTCAGCAGGCGCGTTAAATGAGTGTGTGTGTCGGCCTTTTGTCATCCTAATCAAATCTGATACAAAAATACTTTGTCTGTCCTGGTGAGTTAAGTCTGAGTTTCTGGGTTGTGTAGTCAACGTTCAGCTTTGAAGTTGTTTCTACTTGTAAAGGCGGTTATGTGTTTTCAAGAGCTGCAGCCCACTGACTAATACGAAGAAAGAAAAGAAAAAAACAAAAGAAAAGAAAAAACATTTCTCGCTTCTGAGTTCCCGCTCTGGTCAAACTCTCTCACATCAAGTTCAACCAAAGCGGTCCCCCCCCCCCCCTCGAGACAGGATGTCTTTGTGGTTGTATTTGTGATGCTTTTTGTTTGTTGGCTACAAACGCTTCTGTTCTTTCAATCCTCAGTGCCCGTGTATATTTTTATACTTAAGTCTATTAACAGGTTAGAAAACAATACACAAAGCCACACTTTCAACTTCATATGAACAACAACAAAAAAGAAGCTCTAACAAACAGGCATTCACACCTTGGGGTCAGCTGCCTTCACAGCAGATATAGAGGAAAGAGGAGGAGGAGCTTTATGACAAGGTTGTTGGGGGCCTGGCTATTCTTTTTCTTGTCTATAACCACATTTTTTTTTTATTCTAGTCAAGGTTTGCCTTTATCTTCCTGCTTTTAAATATATACTTATATGAACGTAAAAAGAAACACATTAAAGCTGTAAATAGCAAGATGCTTCTCATGAAACACAAGCCGCAGAAAACGGCATTTGCTCTTTGTGTTTAGCGCTTGCGAGGCACAGAGGAAGTATATTCGCCCCTCACTGACCTGAATTTACTTCTCACTGCCAAAACCACAGTGGAGAAAAAAACAAACTGATGTATTTGCAGCCCTGTGTGGTGCTCTGATAGCCATCTCACAGTGTTCTTGACCTATTTTCTACAGTTCTGAAAAACAAATTGACCAAAAGAAACAAATGAAGAATTGTGTGCAAAAACAAATTCACTGCCACTACCAAGGCTATTCTATCGTTTGGGTATGAAGTGCGGAAATAGTGGGAGTGAGATAAGACTATAAAGATATTTACTTACTCCACTAACTCTCAATATAAAGTCTGAAAAAACCTGGAGAGTGAAAAGGTTATTGAAAATGTGTAGTAGTTCAAAGTCTAAAATGAGTTCAATGAGTTTAAAGTGTAAAAGCTACCACTTCAAAATAACTTATGTTCAAAGTTTTTTTTTTTTCTAATGGCATCAACTACACTGTGGTACAGGGGTTTTAAATGATATGAAGTTTGGATGTGGAAGTGTCGAGTAATGAAAACATGAGATCATGAGATTTTTATTTCTAATCTTTCTACATTGACCGGTGAAACTCAGACAGTCAGAACTTAGGCGTCTGTCATTTAACAGCTTTCTGTATTTGTCACGGCTGCAGCCCTGCAGCAGCTCCGTGTGCTTCCCCCCACGAGCCGGAGGTGAGAGGAGAAACTACTTTTAATCAGTCAGAGACACTGGGCATACTCGCTTTCACAAAATGCATGGGGAAATGTGTGCAATTTGTGTCTGTAGTGTGTTTTAAATAAAGAAAACCCATGTGCTTTTAAGGGAACTGCAGCAGAAAAACACGACAGCACTGAGCACTTATCTCCAAATGACACTGAAACGACGTTTGCCTCTCGTTGTCCGCTTCTCCTCGGTAAATTTGTTGTTTACCACATGGTCTAACTCATATTCTCTTCAAACAAGTATGGGTGGGTCTATTTTCCATTGTAGCTCTCACTTCACAGAAACAGTGAACATTAGGCCGTCCTACTGTCGCCTTGCACGACAAGCATGAGCATGGGTCAGTAATGCCTCGTCTCGAACGAGTCAACAGCCGTACAGCGTTTACCACCTTTTTTTTTTTTCTTTAAAGCATGAACATGCAGACCACAAACATCAAAGGACGCATTTGAGTCACACGCAGCAGCTTGCTACTGTTGCATCTGCAAAGGGCAAGGCTCAGGGAAGAGACACAAATGCCGAATTGTACTTACAGTGCGGGAACAGACGCACATACTGTACCTGACAACTATCAGACCACTCCAACAGAAACACAAACTCCTACACAACTATACACACGTGTACAAGTACATGTTAGCCATGTTACGATCAAACACCATGTGTGAAGCAAATTTTTCAACCTACTATATAATGTTGATCATGTTATTGATCTGTAAATGTCAATACTTGTAATAGCACATCCAGGGTGAGACTACACTATATGACTTGATCCTGATCATATTAATTCAGTATGATCGTATTAAAACATCATGTCACAACACTTCCTGTCATAGTATTTTCCAAACCTGAGGCCCTACAGCAACCAGAGGCCCTACAGTCTTATCATGCAGGAATCCTGTGCTGCATCTCTCTGTGGTTAGAACTCTTTCCCTTTACTGACTCTAAAAGCAGCACGGCACAGCGGGGCAGTGGTTAGGACTGTTGCATCAGGTTAATTGGCGTCTCTAAATTACCCGTAGGTGTTGATGTGAGTGTCTGTGTGTCTGTGATGGACTGGCGACTTGCCTGTATGTTTTGCTATTGCTACATAGCCAGCGTGAGCATTAACAGCTAGAATAAATATTGCGAGTTTAGCATCAAAGTTAATTTGTTTACTCACCAACGTTAACTGTTATCGTTATCACGTCTTTTCTTCTACTGAAGTTAGCATGCTAACTAGCTAGCCCCGGCCCATGTCATCACTTTCTGATAGCGACTCACTGTAGCCTCCTGTCTGCCCTGAAGACATAGTGCTGCTCAGAGTGCTATTTATAACCTTTTGTCTTTTAAACGTAACGATGGATGAAGCTCTTGTGAAGCGATAATCGCCACCACCCACTCCCAGCAAGAAACTGCGTTCGGTGGCAGAGAAAACTGAGAAAAAACAAGGGATCATGAAATCTTCTTGTTGGACTAATTTTGATCTAAATTTCTGACTCATTCAGAGTCACTGTCGCTGTCTATCAGCAGTGGTGCTGAACTGTTTGTCAGTCGATGCATGTAGAGCATCATGTGCTGTCCTCGGTGCTGAAACACTTGAATATGACTGGTAATCTGTTTTTTTTTCTTTCTCTTTTTTCTTGTTTCTTGCAACAAGCTTGTAACAAGCTTGTTTGTTCACAATAAGATGCAACATTACGCCTCAATAATAAGTAAAGAAAAGGCAACATTAGAGGGCAGTAATGCAACGTTCAATTATATGTGAAATTCCATTTAAAAACACCAAAAGAGTAAAAACAATGGTTCTGTGCAAAATTGTTGTCACTCTAGATGTACTTTCCTCTAAATGGAAGACTGGTGATGATGATGATGATGATGATGATGATGGTTAAATGGTGTGTTGTCCAATTTAAGGTCCCATATTTTACAGATATACAAGATATATTTGTGGTTTTAAGAACCAAAAACCATCTCAATGTAGTTTTACATCTCCTCTCTCAGGCTTCTTTCTGGAGCTCTAGTAACAACAGGTTGGTGAGCCAATCAGAAGAGAGGATCTGAGCATATCTTCTGATTGGTCAATTGTATTCTGAGTCATTGAATAAAATCATAGCAGATTTCACGTAAATACTCAAGAAACCAATTCCTGCAAGGTTAGATGGTGGGTCCAGGTGGGCGGAGCTTGGGAGATAGCTAAGGGTGGTGACTGCTTTATTGTGAGATCATAAAGTTACAGAAGTCCTGATGGCTCGTTTTAAGGCTCAGTTTCTGAATACAGGCTGTGTGCATTTCTCCGTGGATTCAGCACTTTTATACCTTCACAGTATTAATATAGAACCTAGACCTGCTTTATAATCAAACAACACATGGAAATCTAACTTACAATATACATACATATAAATACAATATTCGACCTTTAAGTCAACCAAATGAAAGTCCAGTCTGTAACCACTGCAGCCATTACATTATAAATATATACGATCAACATTTTCTTACAGTTTTTTAGATGGGTTAAGTCACTTGACCTAATTTCCTGATTTCTTTTTTCTTTCTGTGTCTCACCCACTCCACCCCCCCTCCCCCTAACCCACTTAACCATTTTAAACACACACTTTCTTACACAAGTAATAGCACATTTAAATCTCTAAGCACTCTGCATATTGTGGAAAACAAACACTGATTCGCACCAACTTCTACACCTCTATGCAAACATGGACTTGAGAGAATTTCCATTTCATAGCATACACACACATACATGTCACGCCTACTGTCCTCCAGTGGACAAAAAACAACGATGCAACCGAGAAGACTAAATCAACCCGATTACACCTCTTGTCACCTGATCAAGCTGATCTTATGGAAAAGAACAAAACGCAAGTGTGAGGCTAAACCAAAGAAGTCAGCTTAGCCAATCACAAACAGCCTTCGTCTTCTCTAAGAGTTAGGTGTGCTCGTCGAACACACAGGATACAGACTGCAGAGCTTCAGAGATGATGCAACTTTGCATTATTCTTGTGCTTCTCAGTGAAATCTGTGAGTATTTTAAACCATTTTTTTCCTACTTTTTCTTTGTGCATGGATATATGGATTTTGAATGAGAGACATGTTTGAAAAGTATAAATAATATAATTTTATGCCTTTCTGCACAGGTCAGGTGACAGTTGCTGTAAATATAACCTCAGGTATAATTCAGGACAGTGGGGTCATAAAAGCAGGAGTTGGGGAGAGTGTGACTTTGAAATGTGTTTGTCAAGACAATGCTGTAACTTTCCTGTCTTGGTATCAGCAAAGCTTGGGAGGTAAACCTCAGATCATATCAACTCGGATGAAGCACAAAAAAGAAGCGGACATGTACCCTGCGTATAAAGAAAGGTTTCAAGTCTCTACACAAAATAAAGAAGGCAGCAACCATCTCACAATCACAAACCTTCGCACGGCAGATTCAGCCATATATTACTGTGGGATTTTAGAATTCAACGCAATCGAATTCGGACAGGGAGCTTTCCTTCACGTCAAAACGTCAACGTCCAACATCCAAGCTGTTGTCCATCAGCCCGATTTTGAGCCACTTTGGCCGGGAGACCCTTTGAGTTTGAGCTGTACAGTATACGCCAAACCGCCGTGCGAAGGGGAGCAGAGCCTCTACTGGTTCAGAAATGGTGCATCTCAGCCCACAGTCATGGACCCCAGTGGAGGACAGTGCACAAGCCCCTCAGATGAAACATCTCACATGATAAATTGCACTGCCAACCTCACATTAAAGTCTACGAGCTCCTCCGATGCTGGGATGTACTACTGTGCTCTGGCCTCCTGCGGCGAGATCACCTTTGGAAATGGAACGAGAGTAGAGATCGTAGGTAGGTGATAATGGCTGATATTACATTTTACAGTTACCTGTAGACCTAAAATGGTCTTTTTAATTAACCATATTAATCGTATGTCTACAAAAACAGCTTTTATATCTGCTTTCTTGACTCCAGATGTTTCTACCAAAGTCTCCCCTCTCATGGTGTATATCTTGAGTGTGGCTTTGGCAGTTTCCATCATCGTTCTGCTCGTCCTGGCTTTCATCGCGTACATGTTGAACAAAAAGCTGTGCTATGTTTGCAAAGGTAGGGTCTTCAGAATTACTAAAATATTGCTGTATTGAATTGGCTTGACCATTACTGTATTTTGATTTGCAGGAACTGTTTCTCATCTGACATGCTCTGCAGCCTCTGACACCAGGGTAGGTCAAATAACTGTGTGGTAAAAGTCAGATTTATACCTACAAAGTCACAAAAATATGAATAATGATTTCTCTCAATTGTTATTTTGTCCTTAACAGAGCCAAGATGCAGACATGCTCCATTATGCTGCTCTGAGTGTGAAGAGAAACAACAAACAACATGGTCAAGACGACAACATGGGCACTGACTGTGTTTACTCCAGAGTAAAGAGTAGAAAAGAGTCATGTAAAACTTAACATTCAACCTCTTGCAAGGATTCACATGACTATATGTACAATGTAAAATAATCTTGAAATAAAATAAAATATTTCTTTCTTTGCAGTATTTGTATGTCAAGTATGTTCTGAGTCACACAGATCAGCATCTCCGTACATGCTGTGTAATACTGGTTGCAGATAAGAGACTGAGCAGGCTTATGAAAAAAAAAAATCCCCTGTGTTCTATTAATAGCTTCTTCAACCAGAAACACAAGTACTGGTTGCACCTTTCAATCTATAGTCGTCTCTCACCATTTACCTTTCACTCCTGTGGTGAAGATGGTGTGAGCTGCAGAGTATAAGTTTCCATTGGTGGAAACGTGAGTCCCAGTAGAGCTTAAACACAGGAAGACCGGCCTGTAGGTCCCTCAGGTCACAGCAGTGTCTTACACTGAAGCGAGCCTGGGTCCCACAGGACTTTGTGAAACAAACAACAACATAGCTTAAATGCAGAAAACAAGCGGTGCATACAATAGACAATTCAAGAAAATGTGAAAGAGTAACTGACCTTTACTTAAGAAGTCTTGATTTATTTCTTAGCTCATGTGAAGACTGCTTTCAGTTCAGTCTTCTTGATTAATTCTAATGTTATTTTGTTGATCCACAAACTTTTCACAGTTTCAGTTCCCTAAAACTCATATGCCCAAACTTGGTCTGTAGCTATGCTTCTTAGGAAACTCCCACGGAAACCACGGTGACATGTCCAGAATGTGCTACATCTACTTTCTTAGAAAGAAAACACACAGTAACATGCAGGCCAGCAGCTCGTACTCCCGTATTAGGTTACTCTGGCTGAAGGGGAAGTGGGCTAAGCCACATCGAAGGGAACATGAAGAAACATTTATCCACTGGTATAGAAATGTAATCAAAGACTATTGTTTTTAGTTCCAACATTTCATATCTTATCTTAAATCTTATGAAAAAAATGATTTGCTGTCAGCACTATGAACATAACGTACATAATGACAAAATATCAATTCTAGATAATAAATCAACTTTCGGTCTCTTACTGGTGACACAACCAAACTGGCATTTTCAAATAGAGTGCTGCAGGGATGATGTATTTTTGTGGCTAAGCTAGATGTTAGCATCATCCTGGTTCCCTCAACAAAAAGCCAATGGGATTTTTACATCGACTTTTGGATTACTGCAGAAAATGAGCAAAAGGTCAAGATACTGACACGTTTTATTCAGCAGGATAATCAATCACTTTTGTGATTTTTGAAGTGTAAATACAATCACCTAAGTAAAAAGCTAATTTTAGGTTATAAACAAACAGTCACATGACTTTGATTTTGATTTTGCTCTTACCTCTTCTACAAAATCCTTTGCTCTTACCAAATTTTTAAAACAATAGCGTGAGTATATAACACTACATTGCAAAGGTGGACTGGTGTTTGCATGATGTCGTTTAGCCACTTGTTAGCAATTGGCTTTTTTTAAGAGACAAAAAAGCTTAAAGAAATCAGGACTGTTGTGTCATAGAATAGAATGTGAAAATGTCTTGAGCTTGTGTTGATTAAAGTTTATTTTGTCACCTAACCAAAAACCCATTCAAAAAATAAGTGTAAAAAGGTGTAATATCTGTTTCTTCTTAAGTCAGTAGGAAACAGTAAATCTATGGCAAAGAGTAATGTGGGCGAGGTGTAGGGGGGTGGGGTGGGGGTAGTAATGGTCTGGGCTGGCTACCTGGTCGATCATGTTCATTGCAGGAAATTCTACCCCACTGACTTCAGAAGCTCGTCATAGGTGAACACGGAATAACAAATGCTGTGCACATTTTCCTCAAAAAACCCTAATTGCATACCATCTTGAAAACACACATTTCATTTTCCAGTTCAGTCTCACTTCTTTCCATGACAATCTTCACATAGACACAGACAAACCTTACACTGCAGGGGGGCACTGATCATGTGTTCATGCAGAGTCAGTTCTGATTGGCCAGTAAAACACAGCCCGGTCTCTCAAAAGTAGAGAACGAACAGAGATTCTCTCAACTAGCCAGCAAAATGACACCTCCAGTGTTTGCTTTGTATGCGACGTGTCTGCTCTGTCTGGGGAGAATAGGTAAGTTGTTTCTTTTTACAAATGCATTTTGTCCTTTTTCTCTGAAACATATGTTTTAAAAAAATATATATATTCTATTTCTATACATTCGTTTGGTATCATATCTCCTTTTTTTCCTCAGCTGATACGACAGCAAGTAAATTATCATCATCTCTACATTTCGTATCAGTGAATGTTGGTGAAAAAGTGACTCTTGAGTGTTTCTATAAAGAGTCTGTCACTGCAGTGATGTTTTACTGGTATAAACAGACTCTGGGAGAGAAACCAAGGCTGGTTTCTAAGTTCTACAAGCATGAGAAAAACGGCATCCTGCAGGATGACTTTAAGAACAATTCACGTTTTGAACTGGAATCTACCACTGGTAAAAATCATTTAAAGATCTCAGATGTGCAAATGTCAGACTCAGCTACTTACTACTGCGTGAGTAGCTTTTCTTACGTGTATGAATTTTTGGAGAGCATTACTGTCACTGTAAAGGGTTCAGGATTGAACAGCCAATCTTGGATCCGTCAGTCAGCATTTGAGACCATCCAGCCAGGAGGCTCTGTGACTCTCAACTGTACAGTACACACTGGGACCTGTGATGGAGAACACAGTGTTTACTGGTTCAAAGACTCTGAAGAATCTCATCCAGGACTCATTTACACTCATGGAGACAGGAATGATCAGTGTGAGAGGAATCCTGAGACACAAACACAAACCTGTGTCTACAACTTGCAGATGCGGAGCCTGAATCTTTCTCATGCTGGGACCTACTACTGTGCTGTTGCCTCATGTGGACACATACTGTTTGGAAACGGGACCAAGCTGGAGTTTGAGGGTAACTACAATTCCTGTCACGTTTGGTGGAAACTTTTTAATCAGATTTGATGACAATCTAAAAGCTCCAATGTCTCCTGATTTCTGGCTCTCTGCAGATGAGGTGGAGTCTGTTGTCTTGGTGTATTTGTTGAGTGGAGCTTTGGCGTTCAACGCAATCCTGGTTGTTGTCCTGGCTTACATGGCATATAAAATGTACAAGGCAAACAGCCACCAATGCACAGGTGGGTTAAAATTTCCTTCCATATATTTGACGGTGTGTGTTCAAAGTACTACTGATGAGTGTTCCATCGTATGACTTAGACATGTAGATTCACTTGGAGACATCAAGTGGAATTGCTAAATCATTAGAGCTTGTTGTTCTCTGAATGAAAAAAGATAGTAATGGCTGCAAAATCCAGTCCAAATTACATGTAAATAGCATACATTGAGAATTTAACATGCTTATTTGTATACTGAAGAAAATACACTTAAGATACTGTGAGTGCTGCAGCTTGATGGTCGAGACTTTTTAAAAGGTATGCAAGTCTCATATTTATACTATAACAAATACTATTTAAATCTGGCTCATTTAAGTTATAAGCAATAGCCTGTAGTTTATACATTGGTCTTCTTTGATTCAATTATATAAAGTCCTACCTGCACCTGTTTCTTTCACAATAAAGTAACAGATGAATAAGAGGAACTGGTTCATTACATTTGGTCCAAAGGATCCAGCTAAGTTAAACGGATTGTGTCACCTCCAACTTGTCGCATTATGAGCAAAGCTTTTGTTGTTGTCTTTTGTCACAACTAGACTCTCAGGCAAGATCTGCAGCTGCCCGAGCTCCGAGTACAGAGGTAAGCATTAGTGTTGTACTACTATAAGTGTAACATATATCGCATCACAAAAGATGACGATAATACAATTCAGTCTTGCTGTGAGGACTGATTGTAGATTTGATGACTTAAGTCATTGCTGTTGTACTAGATTACATTGTATTTGGATGTATTTGTGATTTTGTCCACCATTTCAAATACAAGAGCCACAACAGGAGAATTAACACCTCTCTGACACAAGCTCAACAAATAAAAAAAAATAAAAAAATACATGCATTAGTGATAGTGCTCTCAGTACTTGCCTATATCAGTTATGACACATATACCAATATGGCAATGAACTCTTTTCTCATTTTATTACCAGGGTCACCGAGATGCAGACGACCTCCACTATGCTGCTCTAAGGGAGCACAAGGCCAGCAGCTCAAGAAGAAAGAGAGATGACACCATGAGTGAATGTGTTTACTCCGCTGTGAAGCAGTAGAGCTGGACATGTTCCACCTCCAGCTTTCACCACTGAATGTGAAGCTTTGCCTTTGCAAAAAAAACATATACCTTCAGCTTCAGTTAAGCCAAGTTCCCTTGATGTGACCTGTGCTTTCAGAGGTGTCATGTTTCCACTCTCGCTATACCTGTCATTTACAATGTACGAACACATAACCACACTGATCACTGTGGTGCTTGTTGGGTCAGACACTCGAGAGAGTTTGACGTGTGGAAAATAAATATTAAAACAAAGTCAATACCCTGCTGTTGTCTACATTTGTCTGCATGAACACTGTTTTACTCTGCAAAGCACAACCTGTACATGTATTTCCCCCACTTTCACACAACGCTCATTATTTGGTGCTTGTTTGTGGTCGGAGACGTATAAAACTCTCAGCAAGACGAGTCAGTCACATACTAGACATGATGCTCTCAAGGCGTGGTGGGTTGCGTGTTCAGAAACAGCGAGGCCAGCCTTCTCGGAGCAGGAGACCCGCCGGTATAAGATTTATAAAATAAACACCGGTGTCCAAAAGTCTGAGACCACTTTCCTCATTCACTTGACTGGCAAAGTGATCTCAGACTTCTGGACTTCGCTGTACATGTGGAATGCAGCATAAACACCTCTGTCAGAGAATGAGTGCCTGCCCTAGGTGAGGCGATACAGCCCTGTTGTTTTCTGTAACTGTCTGACTTTGCACCACAAACCCGAGATGTGAGGATCTTTATTTAGCCTCCAGTGTTGTCGGCAGTCGAAAGACCCTCTGCTCTCTTTGTCTGTGCGGTTTCAAACAGGAAGTCTCTGCACTGTTTCGATGCATGCATGCCACACAGTATACCTCTGATGCCCCGGCTACTTCAAGTAAATAACAATTAAACTAATATGGATTGCTTGAACTAGAACACGGTTTAAAAAGTTAAAAAAAAAAAAAAAAATATTAACCCATAACTGTGTTTGTCATTTAAAGCGCTGGGTTATACAAGTATTCCTAGTCCAGAGTCCCACAGCAGGCTTACATGGGGAGTGATGTGTTTACTTTGTTACTAGCCTTAGCTTCCTAGCATTACCCCCCACAAAAACCCAGTGTGTCTGTGTGTCATTTACATTTACTTTTGTATCAACCAAACAGTGACCATGATATATGTGCTTGAGAAGGTACAGATGAAGCAATGTAACAAGTTACCAGCTGCACTAGCCACATATGCTAATAATACCAACAGGAAATAAAAAAATTTATTTGCTGATTTAATATGGACATAAAGTTACAGCAACACCCCACCATCGTCTTCACTTTGGCATTGGTTATTTCTTTGTGTTTTCAAGCCCACTGGTATCCCACTCATTGGTTCCGTGGTCGAGTTCACACTGGAAACAAAATCGCACCCGTCAAACAGGTCACAGTGAAGACAACTGTTATTATGATGTACCATGCAAAGTCAAAAATCAGCTTAATGTACCTTTAACATGCCATCACTGTGAAATACTACCAAGCATCTAATTGGAGGGACCAAGGACATCAAAGGTGTTCATGCTTTTACATTGGTGATTTTATCAAATAAGAGTCAGGTCATCACCGGACAACACATTTTAAATGTTAAGTACCCTAATGAGTTGTTTAATAAATAATAACACATTACAGGACATTAACAAGACCAAGTAACAAAGACAGATGAGTGAGACTTGCCCACATTCCCAGCAACTGAACATTAAAGAGCCTGGTGGTGTGTATGGACGGAAAGAGTTGAAATCAGGTAAGGTAAAGGCTGTCAAAAGACCTGTTTGAACTTTTTTTTATGCAGTTCATCAGAGGCAGCACTGAACATGTGATCACTGTTTCCACATCAGGATAATAGGTGTTACTTCTCATTAGCCAATCAAACGCAGCCTTCTCTCTGAAGAGCAGAGAACGTGCAGTGTTTCAGTTCATTCAACGAGGCATTTTGGACACAATGACAAATTTAAAGTTTGCTTTGTATGTGATTTATCTGTTTTTAGGGAGTTCAGGTAAGTTGTGTGTTACATTTTCCATTACAGATTTTGCACTATGATCATCATCAACCTATATAATTGATCAAATTGCATGTCTTCAATCCCTTTCCTCTTCAGCTCAGATGAATAATCTGAAATCGTCCAAATATGTGCGTCAAGACAGTGGTTTTTATCCAGCTGACATTGGTGAGAAGGTGACCTTGCGATGTTTCTATGAGGGTAATGCAGTGATGTTTTACTGGTATAAGCAAACTCTGGGACAGAAACCAAGGGTTATCTCTACCTTCTACAAGCATGAAACAAATGGCTACTTTCTTGGTGAATTTGAGGACGATCCTCGATTCGCACTAGAAGTTGGAAACGGTAAAAATCACTTGACAATCTCAGATTTGAACTTTTCAGATTCAGCCACTTACTACTGCATAGGTTGCTACGCATATGATTTTGAGTTTGTAGATGGAGCTACTGTCAGTGTACAGGGTTCAGGCTTTAACATCCAAGCTTTGGTTCATCAGTCACCATCCGACACCATCCAGTCAACTGAACAGCTCAGCTGTACAGTACACACTGGGACCTGTGACGGAGAACACAGTGTTTACTGGTTCAGAAACTCTGAAGAATCTCATCCAGGACTCATTTACACTCACGGAGACAGGAATGATCAGTGTGAGAGGAAACCTGAGACACAAACACAAACCTGTGTCTACAACTTGCCCATGAAGAGCCTGAATCTTCCTCATGCTGGGACTTATTGTGCTGTTGCCTCGTGTGGACATGTTCTGTTTGGAAACAAGAAAAAGTTGGACTCAGCAGGTAAGTAACAAGATAACAGTGGTTTCATATATACTGTATATGCTATGATCACTCCTGACTCAATTTTCTAAAGCTCTGTAATGTCTCTTACTGTGTGTATCTGCAGATAAGGATGACTCATTTGTCTTGGTGTATTTGTTGAGTGGAGCTTTGGCATTCACCACCATCCTGGCTGTTTTGCTATCATATGCAGCATATAGAATGAAAAAAAGCTGTCATCGTACAGGTAGGCAAACTGCCAGTTCTTACTTTTGATAGTGTGTTTTAATGTAGTTAATACTGGAGGTAAAACACTTGAAGCTGATATATGATACAGTGAAGTCAACCAAATCAAGACGAGTGTCAGAAACCTAAGACATACAATGGGAATATATTTTTATTCCATATTTATCACCTGCAAACCTCATCAGCAAAAACATTTGAACTTCAAAGTTTTAGTCACCAGTTTGTAGAGAATTGAGCCAGTAAATAATGTAACTTGCTGGAAGCTTTATACTATTAAATGGTGGAGTTCTAGGATGAAGTGGTTCAGTTATGTTGAGATACATTGCGCTTGTGATTCACTCTCGATCATGTTTTATTTTTTTTTTTTAAGTATATTTTTTTGGGCTTTTTATGCCTTTATTGATAGTGCAGTAGAGAGAGACAGGAAATGGGGAGGCAGAGAGAGGGGGAATGACATGCAGCAAAGGCCATTCGATGCAGGACTTGAACCGGGGCCAACTACACATGGGGCGCCTGCTTAGACCACTACGCCACACAACGCCCCTACTCTTGATCATGTTTGAATAGTACGTTTAAATCAAACGGAGTTCAAAGAACCCTTCTCTTCTGTGTCATTTCATAATCAGACTCTCAAGCAAGATCTTCCCCTGACTCAACTCCAAATGCAGAAGTGAGTATTATCAAAGCACCACCATAACAAAATATATCATAGTAGGAGAAAAAATAGCTGTGAAATACATGCTGCAGAGAAGCTGTTAGGTCTTTTCCACTACAGAAACATACTGACTCATAACCTGGAGTTTCACATAACCTGAAGTTTTAAGAAACTCTGAGACTCTGGTTCTAGGTTCTGCCTTGTGTCTCAGCTGTGTTACGCCCAGAACATTTAATATATACTGTATGTCATTTAAATGACATACAGTATATATGAGCATGGCAATATGAGCTACATGTGTAGTTACAGGTCATTATGTTCCTGTAGTGGGAACACCTGTGTGTAAAGCACAAAGTTCTGTTACATCAATGTGAATTCTAATGTCGCTATTGGTGTGTTCAGTACCTCATCTGTATTAATATCGTAATTTAATGTTGTAATAATGTGACATTTTATTACCAGGGTTACCGGGATTCAGACAACCTCCATTACGCGGCATTGAGCAAGCATAAGATCAACAGAACAAAAAGACACAGGGACAACACACAAACTGAATGCGTGTACTCCACTGTAAGGCAGTAGAGCTGGATATATTTCATTTCTGTGTAAGACTAAATCTGTCTAGCTCAGTAATGCATTTTTTAAATAGGAGCATTGTTGTCAGATTTACTTGTATATACTGAATGCAATGCAATAACCTAATAAAACAAATGCTTCAGGCAGCCAGGTTTCAGCCTGTCAAGATTACTATTTTAATCCATGCTAGCTAGCTGCTCTAATGTTCGTCTGTCTGTGTCATCAGGTCAAAATTATACACTGCCCAAAAATTTTGCAAAATCTGCTAAACATCAGAATGTTAGCATTGTTGTTGTCTTAGCATGTCACCATTCTGACATACTGTAAGTATTTAGCCCAAAGAACAACTGTGCCCCATTCTGTCAGATTTCACCTAAATATAAGGAATGAAAAATCTATATATAAATAAACTAATCAAACAAGTTCTTGATGTGACTTGTGTCATCGAATATGCAATATTTCCACTCAATACATGTCTACTGTAGTTTAATTGTTGGAAAAAGAGTTAGCACTAAAACACCATCAATAACTACTGTAGAGAACCTGCAAAGAAACTCCCTCAGAGCCACAACTAACCAGCGGCCTCACACTGACTGAGACACTTTCAGTCAGTGAGAGAGAGAGATAAAGAGAAAGAACAAGAGGGAGTGCACAAGAGATTGCAAGATAGCCTCACTTCATAGACAGTGAAATTTGGCGCTACTCCATCCTTGTTATTGGTGAGTGACTAAATTAAAAGCAAGCTGCTTTTAAGCTACCATGTTCACATCCTGAAATGTAAGACGGAAGCAATCAGCCGCAAACTTAAAGCATGTTTAATATAGATGTGTCTTTCCAGCCACGGCTGCATGCTCAGACAGAGCAGGGCCGGCCTTCTCATTGCAGATGAGCAGCATCAAAACCCACCAACACTTGCTGAACATGGCAGGATGAGGAACCAATCTGTTGAACAGTGTACTGATAAATACCTTCCTATATGTCTTTGCAGGTTTTTTATTGATAGACATTGTGCTGGTCCTACACCACAAACTCAAAATCTTATTTTAGCCTCCGTGTGGTTGGCAGTCAGTATAACTCTCAGTATACTCTGGTCATGTACTTTTCTAGGACCCTCTGGTTTCTTTGGCTTTGTGGTTTCAAACAGGAAATTTCTGTAATGTTTTCATGCACACCTGCCACACAGTTTAACTCTGATGCCCATACGATATGTCTCAAGAATTATTGGATGGATTGCCATGAAACTTTGTCTCCACATTCAGCTTCCCATCTGGATGATTTTTTACCTTTGGAGGTCCTTTAACTTTTTCTTTGCGACCATCATCAGGTCAAATATCTAGGTTGGTCAATGCTTTCATGACCAAATACCTGCAAAAGTAACACCTCAACAAAACCAACAAAGAAACATCTCAACAAAGAATCCCAAACTGATGGTTGGGGTCATTGTATAGTAATTGGAAATGCTCATGCTTTTTTGAATAAGAATTAAAAAGTGAAGATATGAACAGATATAACATTCTCTTTTAACTAGATATGAGAGCTGGTTGCATCTTTCACTATGCAGCGAAGGTGGTGTGAGCTAGTTAACAGTTTTCCACTGGTGGAAACTTGGCTCATAGCAAAGCTTCAACACAGGAAGACTACCCTCTTACCTAAAATAGGTGATACGTTTGAAAAGCAAATAATTGACTTTGTTGAATAGAGTATGTGAAATATTTCTCTTTGTGGACCATCATTTCCAATACAGAAAAGAACTGGGTTAACTGGTTTACTTTCATCCATTTTTTTTTTCAGGTGAACTTGACCTCGACCTTGACAGAAAGCTTGACCTTACCCTTGGCCAAGTTGTTTTAGATTCCTCCAGTTCCCTAACATCTCTTATTTACCTATTCATTTGACAACAGGTTAAAGGTTTTTTTACATCATTAAAAAAGGAAATCTTCACTCACAATTAGTATTTAGGGTTTGTACTAGTAGATTGCACTAGTGTTGAGCTCAGCAGTCTTAAAAGTATTTTCCTTGGTTGGGGTAGTAGACCATTTGACTTTGATGAAGCACTATAAGTGAGATTCAGGATTTCCACTAGTTCTACACATCTTTTATCTTTGTCTTCGTAACACCCGCACATGTACTGTTGCTGATGTGGACCAGTGAAAGTGAGTGGTCTGTGAATGAAATAACTTCAGTTCAGCAAAAGTGGAATCCACTTTAGGCTTGTTATTCCTGTTTTTAATGATCTTCAGCATCAGAATTCTGACTTTTATTGTGGTCCTGGTAACTGCTAACTCTGCCCATGTGTCTTAACTCAAGAGCTTAAATTTGCAATGGAGGGGGCGCTGAACATGTGCTCACTGTTTCCAAAATAGGACATTCAGTGTCACTACTTGTTAGCCAATCACATACAGTCCTCTGTCTGAGAGAAGACAACGGACGGAGGTTCTCTATATTCATCAAGACATTTTGATCACGATGACATCTCTGAAGTTCGCTTCATGTCTGACTATTCTGTTCTTGTGGAGAATAGGTAAGTTGGAGCTTTTGTGGATAAATTTACATCCTTAAATATGTATCTCTATTGTTGGTATATATATATATTTTCAGTCATTATGACAGATTTTTTCATGGCATTAACTCTATACTCTCTTGATCTCTATTCTCCACAGCCTTTGTAACTAATCTCAAGATGTCCTCATCGGTGCGTCAAGACAGTGGTTTTATACCAGCTAAAGTTGGAGACAATGTGACTTTGCAATGTTTCTATGAAGGTAATACTGCAGTGATGTTTTACTGGTATAAACAAACTCTGGGACAGAGACCAAGGCGCATCTCTTCCTTCTATAAACATGACAAAAGTGGCACTTTTAATGACGAATTCAAAAACAATGAACGGTTTTCATTGGAGACTGATAATGGTAAGAACCACCTGACGATCTTGGATTTAAAAATTTTAGACTCAGCGACTTACTACTGTGTAAGTTACTCTGCATACAAGTTTGAATTTACAGAGAGTGTTACTGTCAGTGTAAAGGGTTCAGGATTGAAGATCCAAGCTTTGGTTCATCAGTCAGGCTCTGTGATTCTCAGCTGTACAGTACACATTGGGACCTGTGACGGAGAACACAGTGTTTACTGGTTCAGAAATTCTGAAGAATCTCATCCAGGATTCATTTACACTCATGGAGACAGGAATGATCAGTGTGAGAAGAAACCTGAGACACAAACACAAACCTGTGTCTACAACTTGCCGATGAAGAGCCTGAATCTTTCTAACGATGGGACTTATTGTGCTGTTGCCTCATGTGGACATGTTCTGTTTGGAAACAAGAAAAAGTTGGACTCAGCAGGTAAGTAACAAGATAACAGTGGTTTCATATATACTGTATATGCTATGATCACTCCTGACTCAATTTTCTAAAGCTCTGTAAAATCTCTTACTGTGTGTATCTGCAGATAAGGATGACTCATTTGTCTTGGTGTATTTGTTGAGTGGAGCTTTGGCATTCACCACCATCCCGGCTGTTTTGCTATCATATGCAGCATATAGAATGAACAAAAGCTGTCATCGTACAGGTAGGCAAACTGTCAGTTCTTACTTTTGATAGTGTTTTTATGCACTTAATACTGGAGGTAAAACACTTGAAGTTGATATATGATACAATGAAGTCAAACAAAGCAATACAAGACTGTCAGAAATCTTCCATATGCATATTCCTTATTCCAAAGTTCCCATCATGTTTGAATAGTACATTAAAATCAAACGAAGTTTAAAGAATCTGTCTTTTCTTTCATAACCAGACTCTCAAGCAAGATCGTCACCTGACTCTGCTCCGAATGCAGAAGTGAGTATTATCAAAGCAACACTATAACAAAATATATTCTAGTAGGAGAAAGTGCACAATATAGCTGTTAGGTTGTTTCCACTAAAGGAACTTACTGACCTATAGCCTGAACTTTTAAGCTTGCGTCTTGGCTGTGTTAAACAGCAGAACATTTTAGATATACTGTATGTCCATGAAATCATATATGAGCATCCTAATATGAGCTACATGTTTAGTTACAGGTCATTATGTTCCTGTAGTGGGAACACCTGTGTGTAAAGCACAAAGTTCTATCATATCAGTGTGAATTATAATGTTGCTATTGGTGTGTTCAGTATCAAACAAGTCATGTGTATTAATATCGTAATTTAATGTTAATGTGACATTTTATTACCAGGGTTACCAGGATTCAGACAACCTCCATTATGCAGCTTTGAGGAAACATAAGATCAACAGAACAAAAAGACACAGGGACAACACACAAACTGAATGTGTGTACTCCACTGTAAGGCAGTAGAGCTGGACGTACTTTGTTTCTGTGTAAGAAGTGATTATCTAAATCTGTGTATCAAGCTTGATATTTTTCTTTCTTTAATAGGAGCACTGTTGTAACAATGCTTGTAATGTCCTAATAAAAGAAATGCTTTCAGCAGCCAGGTGTCAGGTTGTTAAAAGTATTATTTTAAGCCATGCCAGCTAGCGGCTCATGGTCTGTCTATCAGTTGGTCCACCTCTGTGTGTCATGGTCTCAGCCTGGAGGCTCCAGGTTTTTGGATTTTCTTGGTTTGGTTTTCTGTGTTTTTGGGTTTCTGTTCTGGGTTTTGAGTGTTTCTGGTTTGGGTGTTTCTGGTGTTTAGTTTAGTCTTCCCTGTCTTGTGCTCTGTTTCCCCGTGCACTTCCTGTTTTATTTTGATAGTCATGTCACCCCAGTGTCTGAGTTCTAGTTTTGCTTCCTTTTGTTAATCATCCCTGATGTGTCCCACCTGTGTCTGCTTCCCCACCTGTTCTCCATTGTTAATCAGTTCCGTTCCTTTAAAAAGCCCTTGTTCTGTCTTGTCTTTGTGGTATCATTGTTGGTGATGAGGTTTGTTTTGTCGGCGGCATCTGTGGATGTATGGATTTTGTTTTTTTTTGTGAATAAATTCCTTGACACTGGTTCCTCCTCCGCCTCTGAGTCTTTCACCCTCAGCCCTGCCTCATCTGGACCGTGACTCTGTGGTCCAACATCCACTGGATGGATTGGCACAAATTTAGTTTCAAATACCCATGGTGCCATGATCATGAATCCTACTGACCTTGCTGATCCCCTGACTTTTCATCTAGTGCCATCACACAATCAAAATTATACATTGTCCAAGAATTTACAAAACCTGCTAAACGTCATGCACGTTAGCATTGTTGTTTTGAGCATGTTAGCATTGTTGTTCTGAGTATGTTAGCACACTGACATATTGTATTTAGCTCAAAGCTCCACTGTGCTGAAGTAAAGCTTCAGAGAGCTGTTAACATGGCATAACATTCTGTCAGATTTCAACTCCATATTCAAAATGAAAAATCTTGATCTGCAATAAACTAGTCAAACAAGTTCTTGATGTGACTGGTGTCATCAAATATGCTATATTTCCCCTCAAACCATGTCTACTGTAGTTTAATTTACTGGCAAACATCTAAGCAACTCATCTCCATGGTGTTGTAGTGACAAATAGAGTTTGCACAGTTGGAAAAAGAGTAAGCAATAAAACACCATCAATAACTACTGTAGAGAACCTGCAGAGAAATTCCCTCAGAGCCACAACTAACCAGCTGCCTCACACTGACTGAGACACTTTATCATAGTCATGTAGCAGGTACTAAATATAACTGAAACCTTACAACCTCATAAACATCTGGCTGTTTATTCCCTACTTGAAGATATAGATGGAAATTTCTCTTTTAAAAATGAGAGAGAGAAAGAAATAACTAGAAGCAGCACACAAGAGATAGGAAGAAGCCTCGCTTTATAGAAAGTGAAAGTTGGCCCTACTGCATCTTTGTTATTTGAGAATGACTAAATCAAAAGCAACTAAAGCTGTCAGCAAAAGCTACCATGCTCACATCCTGAAATGTAAGAGAGAAACAATAAAGAAGCCAACCATGAACTTAAAGAACTTTTGATACAGATGTGTCTTTCCAGCCACGGCTGCATGCTCAGACAGAGCAGGGCCGGCCTTCTCATTGCAAATGAGCAGCATCAAAACCCACCAACACCTGCTGAACATGGCAGGATGAGGAACCAATCTGTTGAATAGTGCACTGATAAATACCTTCCTACATGTCTTTGCAGGTTTTCTATTGATACACATTGTGCTGGTCCTACATCACAAACTCACAATCTTATTTTAGTCTCTGTGTGGTTGGCAGTCAGTATAACTTTCAGTATACTCTGGTCATGTACTTTTCTAGGACCCTCTGCTTTCTTTGGCTTTATGGTTTAAAACAGGAAATTTCTGTAATATTTTCATGCACACCTGCCACACAGTTTAACTCTGATGCCCATACTATTTTAGTAGATTATATCAACTGAAGACTCATCTCTTCTGAGAGCACCTTCTCTCCTAACACCTCTAACACCCCAACATGCTGATACTGTTGTATCAACCAAACAATGGCCATGGTATGTGTGCTAAGCAGCTGGAACAAAATGATATCCCCATCTATCAGTGAATATGTACCAGCAACGTTGTAGCCAAAGCATGGCTGTAGGGATGGAAATGTCTCTCGTTCTGTTGACCACTTCGCCCAGACTCAAATATCTCAAAAACTAGTGGAGATTCATGGTCCCCAGAGGATAAATCCTACTGATTTTGAGGATCTTTTCCTTTAGCACCACCATAAGGTCGACTTTTTAGGTTTCATGTTACACGTCTTCACAATTGTTTCACGGATTTCCATGAAATTTGGTACCGATATCAAAGTTGCCCAGAGGATGAACCCTGGTGACTATGGTGATCCCCTACCTTTTCCCGTATAGTGCCTAAAGCAGGTCAGACTTTTCACTTATCCCCTGAAATGTCTTAACAAATATTGGATGAACATACACAAAATCTGGTACAGACATTCATGGTTTCCACATGATGAATGTTGATGACTTGATGATGATCTCCTGACTCTTCGTCTCATCATATGACATATGTGGTTTTGAGCGATATGTCTCAAGAATTATTGAATGGATTGCCATGAAACTTTGTCCCCATATTCAGCTTCCCATCTGGATGACTTTTTACGTTTGGGGGTCCTTTAACTTTTTCTTTGCCACCATCATAAGGTCAAACTTGTAGTTTGGCCAATGCTTTCATGACCAAATACCTGCAAAAGTAACACCTCAACAAAACCAACAAAGAAACATCTCAACAAAGAATCTCAAACTGATGGTTGGGGTCATTGTATAGTAATTGCAAATGCTCATGCTTTTTGAATAAGAATTAAAAAGTGAAGATATGAACAGGTATAACATTCTCTTTTAACTAGATATGAGAAGCTGGTTGCATCTTTCACTATGCAGTGAAGGTGGTGTGAGCTAGTCAACAGTTTTCCACTGGTGGAAACTTTGGTCATATAAGAGCTTCAACACAGGAAGACTACCCTCTTACCTAAAATAGGTGGTACGTTTGAAAAGCAAACAATTGACATTGTTGAATAGAGTATGTGAAATATTTCTCTTTGTGGACCATCATTTCCAATACAGAAAAGAACTGAGTTAACTGGTTTACTTTCATCCATTTTTTTTTTCAGTTGACCTTGATCTCGACCTTGACAGAAAGCTTGACCTTACCCTTGGCCAAGTTGTTTTATATGCCTCCAGTTCCCTAACATCTCTTATTAACCTTTTCATTTGACATGGATTAAAGGCTTGTTTTTATCATGACAGAATCATTTTGTGGTAGAGAAAAGAAATCTTCACTCGCACATAGTGGTTTGGGGTTGTACTAGTAGATCGCACTAGTGTTGAGCTCAGCAGTCTTAAGATGTGTTTTCCTGGGTTGGGGTAGTAGACCGTTTGACTTTGATATGGCACTATAAGTGAGATTCAGGATTTCCGCTAGTTCTACACTTGTCTGTTGGGAAAAAGTATTGTCAAACATCGTGTATCTTTGTCTTCGTAACACCCACACATGTACTGCTGCTGATGTCGGCCAGTGAAAATGAGTGGTCTGTGAATCAGAGAACTTTAGTTCAGCAAAAGTGGAATACACTTTAGCTTGTTATTCCTGTTTTTATTAATTGTAAGCATCAGACTTCTGAGTCATGTTGTGGTCCTGGTAACTGCTAACTCTGTCCGTGTGTCTTAACTCAAGAGCCAAAATTTGCAATGGAGGGGGCGCTGAACATGTGCTCACTGTTTCCAAAATAGGACATTCAGTGTCACTACTTGTTAGCCAATCACATACAGTCCTCTGTCTGAGAGCAGAGAATATATGGAGGTTCTTTACATTCATCAAAATATTGTGATCACGATGACATCTCTGAAGTTTGCTTCATGTCTGACTGTTCTGTTCTTGTGGATAATAGGTAATTTGGAGCTTTTGTGGATAAATTTACATCCTTAAATATGTATATCTATTGTTGTTATTTTTTTTTTTGTCATTATGACAGATTTTTTCATGGCATTAACTGTATACTCTCTTGATCTCTATTCTCCACAGCCTTTGTGACTAATCTCAAGATGTCCTCATCGGTGCGTCAAGACAGTGGTTTTATACCAGTTAAAGTTGGAGACAATGTGACTTTGCAATGTGTCAATGAAAGTAAAGCTGCAGTGATGTTATACTGGTATAAACAAAGTCTGGGACAGAAACCGAAGCGCATCTCTTCCTACTATAAATATGACAAAAGTGGCACTGTTATTGATGAATTCAAAAACTTTTCACGGTTTTCAGTCGAGATTATTCACGGTAAGAACCACCTGACAATCTCGGATTTACACATTTCAGACTCAGCGACTTACTACTGCGTAAGTTACTCTGCAAACAAGTTTGAATTTACAGAGGGTGTTACTGTCAGTGTAAAGGGTTCAGGATTGAACATCCAAGATTTGGTTCATCAGTCAGGGTTTGAGACCATCCAGCCAGGAGGCTCTGTGACTCTCAGCTGTACAGTACACACTGGGACCTGTGATGGAGAACACAGTGTTTACTGGTTCAAAGACTCTGAAGAATCTCATCCAGGATTCATTTACACTCATGGAGACAGAAATGATCAGTGTGAGAAGAAACCTGAGACACAAACACAAACCTGTGTCTACAATTTGCCGATGAAGAGCCTGAATCTTTCTAACGATGGGACTTATTGTGCTGTTGCCTCATGTGGACATGTTCTGTTTGGAAACAAGAAAAAGTTGGACTCAGCAGGTAAGTAACAAGATAACAGTGGTTTCATATATACTGTATATGCTATGATCACTCCTGACTCAATTTTCTAAAGCTCTGTAAAATCTCTTACTGTGTGTATCTGCAGATAAGGATGACTCATTTGTCTTGGTGTATTTGTTGAGTGGAGCTTTGGCATTCACCACCATCCCGGCTGTTTTGCTATCATATGCAGCATATAGAATGAACAAAAGCTGTCATCGTACAGGTAGGCAAACTGTCAGTTCTTACTTTTGATAGTGTTTTTATGCACTTAATACTGGAGGTAAAACACTTGAAGTTGATATATGATACAATGAAGTCAAACAAAGCAATACAAGACTGTCAGAAATCTTCCATATACATATTCCTTATTCCGAAGTTCCCATCATGTTTGAATAGTACATTAAAATCAAACGAAGTTTAAAGAATCTGTCTTTTCTTTCATAACCAGACTCTCAAGCAAGATCGTCACCTGACTCTGCTCCGAATGCAGAAGTGAGTATTATCAAAGCAACACTATAACAAAATATATTCTAGTAGGAGAAAGTGCACAATATAGCTGTTAGGTTGTTTCCACTAAAGGAACTTACTGACCTATAGCCTGAACTTTTAAGCTTGCGTCTTGGCTGTGTTAAACAGCAGAACATTTTAGATATACTGTATGTCCATGAAATCATATATGAGCATCCTAATATGAGCTACATGTTTAGTTACAGGTCATTATGTTCCTGTAGTGGGAACACCTGTGTGTAAAGCACAAAGTTCTATCATATCAGTGTGAATTATAATGTTGCTATTGGTGTGTTCAGTATCAAACAAGTCATGTGTATTAATATCGTAATTTAATGTTAATGTGACATTTTATTACCAGGGTTACCAGGATTCAGACAACCTCCATTATGCAGCTTTGAGGAAACATAAGATCAACAGAACAAAAAGACACAGGGACAACACACAAACTGAATGTGTGTACTCCACTGTAAGGCAGTAGAGCTGGACGTACTTTGTTTCTGTGTAAGAAGTGATTATCTAAATCTGTGTATCAAGCTTGATATTTTTCTTTCTTTAATAGGAGCACTGTTGTAACAATGCTTGTAATGTCCTAATAAAAGAAATGCTTTCAGCAGCCAGGTGTCAGGTTGTTAAAAGTATTATTTTAAGCCATGCCAGCTAGCGGCTCATGGTCTGTCTATCAGTTGGTCCACCTCTGTGTGTCATGGTCTCAGCCTGGAGGCTCCAGGTTTTTGGATTTTCTTGGTTTGGTTTTCTGTGTTTTTGGGTTTCTGTTCTGGGTTTTGAGTGTTTCTGGTTTGGGTGTTTCTGGTGTTTAGTTTAGTCTTCCCTGTCTTGTGCTCTGTTTCCCCGTGCACTTCCTGTTTTATTTTGATAGTCATGTCACCCCAGTGTCTGAGTTCTAGTTTTGCTTCCTTTTGTTAATCATCCCTGATGTGTCCCACCTGTGTCTGCTTCCCCACCTGTTCTCCATTGTTAATCAGTTCCGTTCCTTTAAAAAGCCCTTGTTCTGTCTTGTCTTTGTGGTATCATTGTTGGTGATGAGGTTTGTTTTGTCGGCGGCATCTGTGGATGTATGGATTTTGTTTTTTTTTGTGAATAAATTCCTTGACACTGGTTCCTCCTCCGCCTCTGAGTCTTTCACCCTCAGCCCTGCCTCATCTGGACCGTGACTCTGTGGTCCAACATCCACTGGATGGATTGGCACAAATTTAGTTTCAAATACCCATGGTGCCATGATCATGAATCCTACTGACCTTGCTGATCCCCTGACTTTTCATCTAGTGCCATCACACAATCAAAATTATACATTGTCCAAGAATTTACAAAACCTGCTAAACGTCATGCACGTTAGCATTGTTGTTTTGAGCATGTTAGCATTGTTGTTCTGAGTATGTTAGCACACTGACATATTGTATTTAGCTCAAAGCTCCACTGTGCTGAAGTAAAGCTTCAGAGAGCTGTTAACATGGCATAACATTCTGTCAGATTTCAACTCCATATTCAAAATGAAAAATCTTGATCTGCAATAAACTAGTCAAACAAGTTCTTGATGTGACTGGTGTCATCAAATATGCTATATTTCCCCTCAAACCATGTCTACTGTAGTTTAATTTACTGGCAAACATCTAAGCAACTCATCTCCATGGTGTTGTAGTGACAAATAGAGTTTGCACAGTTGGAAAAAGAGTAAGCAATAAAACACCATCAATAACTACTGTAGAGAACCTGCAGAGAAATTCCCTCAGAGCCACAACTAACCAGCTGCCTCACACTGACTGAGACACTTTATCATAGTCATGTAGCAGGTACTAAATATAACTGAAACCTTACAACCTCATAAACATCTGGCTGTTTATTCCCTACTTGAAGATATAGATGGAAATTTCTCTTTTAAAAATGAGAGAGAGAAAGAAATAACTAGAAGCAGCACACAAGAGATAGGAAGAAGCCTCGCTTTATAGAAAGTGAAAGTTGGCCCTACTGCATCTTTGTTATTTGAGAATGACTAAATCAAAAGCAACTAAAGCTGTCAGCAAAAGCTACCATGCTCACATCCTGAAATGTAAGAGAGAAACAATAAAGAAGCCAACCATGAACTTAAAGAACTTTTGATACAGATGTGTCTTTCCAGCCACGGCTGCATGCTCAGACAGAGCAGGGCCGGCCTTCTCATTGCAAATGAGCAGCATCAAAACCCACCAACACCTGCTGAACATGGCAGGATGAGGAACCAATCTGTTGAATAGTGCACTGATAAATACCTTCCTACATGTCTTTGCAGGTTTTCTATTGATACACATTGTGCTGGTCCTACATCACAAACTCACAATCTTATTTTAGTCTCTGTGTGGTTGGCAGTCAGTATAACTTTCAGTATACTCTGGTCATGTACTTTTCTAGGACCCTCTGCTTTCTTTGGCTTTATGGTTTAAAACAGGAAATTTCTGTAATATTTTCATGCACACCTGCCACACAGTTTAACTCTGATGCCCATACTATTTTAGTAGATTATATCAACTGAAGACTCATCTCTTCTGAGAGCACCTTCTCTCCTAACACCTCTAACACCCCAACATGCTGATACTGTTGTATCAACCAAACAATGGCCATGGTATGTGTGCTAAGCAGCTGGAACAAAATGATATCCCCATCTATCAGTGAATATGTACCAGCAACGTTGTAGCCAAAGCATGGCTGTAGGGATGGAAATGTCTCTCGTTCTGTTGACCACTTCGCCCAGACTCAAATATCTCAAAAACTAGTGGAGATTCATGGTCCCCAGAGGATAAATCCTACTGATTTTGAGGATCTTTTCCTTTAGCACCACCATAAGGTCGACTTTTTAGGTTTCATGTTACACGTCTTCACAATTGTTTCACGGATTTCCATGAAATTTGGTACCGATATCAAAGTTGCCCAGAGGATGAACCCTGGTGACTATGGTGATCCCCTACCTTTTCCCGTATAGTGCCTAAAGCAGGTCAGACTTTTCACTTATCCCCTGAAATGTCTTAACAAATATTGGATGAACATACACAAAATCTGGTACAGACATTCATGGTTTCCACATGATGAATGTTGATGACTTGATGATGATCTCCTGACTCTTCGTCTCATCATATGACATATGTGGTTTTGAGCGATATGTCTCAAGAATTATTGAATGGATTGCCATGAAACTTTGTCCCCATATTCAGCTTCCCATCTGGATGACTTTTTACGTTTGGGGGTCCTTTAACTTTTTCTTTGCCACCATCATAAGGTCAAACTTGTAGTTTGGCCAATGCTTTCATGACCAAATACCTGCAAAAGTAACACCTCAACAAAACCAACAAAGAAACATCTCAACAAAGAATCTCAAACTGATGGTTGGGGTCATTGTATAGTAATTGCAAATGCTCATGCTTTTTGAATAAGAATTAAAAAGTGAAGATATGAACAGGTATAACATTCTCTTTTAACTAGATATGAGAAGCTGGTTGCATCTTTCACTATGCAGTGAAGGTGGTGTGAGCTAGTCAACAGTTTTCCACTGGTGGAAACTTTGGTCATATAAGAGCTTCAACACAGGAAGACTACCCTCTTACCTAAAATAGGTGGTACGTTTGAAAAGCAAACAATTGACATTGTTGAATAGAGTATGTGAAATATTTCTCTTTGTGGACCATCATTTCCAATACAGAAAAGAACTGAGTTAACTGGTTTACTTTCATCCATTTTTTTTTTCAGTTGACCTTGACCTCGACCTTGACAGAAAGCTTGACCTTACCCTTGGCCAAGTTGTTTTATATGCCTCCAGTTCCCTAACATCTCTTATTAACCTTTTCATTTGACACAGATTAAAGGCTTGTTTTTATCATGACAGAATCATTTTGTGGTAGAGAAAAGAAATCTTCACTCGCACATAGTGGTTTGGGGTTGTACTAGTAGATCGCACTAGTGTTGAGCTCAGCAGTCTTAAGATGTGTTTTCCTGGGTTGGGGTAGTAGACCGTTTGACTTTGATATGGCACTATAAGTGAGATTCAGGATTTCCGCTAGTTCTACACTTGTCTGTTGGGAAAAAGTATTGTCAAACATCGTGTATCTTTGTCTTCGTAACACCCACACATGTACTGCTGCTGATGTCGGCCAGTGAAAATGAGTGGTCTGTGAATCAGAGAACTTTAGTTCAGCAAAAGTGGAATACACTTTAGCTTGTTATTCCTGTTTTTATTTATTTTAAGCATCAGACTTCTGAGTCATGTTGTGGTCCTGGTAACTGCTAACTCTGTCCGTGTGTCTTAACTCAAGAGCCAAAATTTGCAATGGAGGGGGCGCTGAACATGTGCTCACTGTTTCCAAAATAGGACATTCAGTGTCACTACTTGTTAGCCAATCACATACAGTCCTCTGTCTGAGAGCAGAGAATATATGGAGGTTCTTTACATTCATCAAAATATTGTGATCACGATGACATCTCTGAAGTTTGCTTCATGTCTGACTGTTCTGTTCTTGTGGATAATAGGTAATTTGGAGCTTTTGTGGATAAATTTACATCCTTAAATATGTATATCTATTTTTGTTATTTTTTTTTTTGTCATTATGACAGATTTTTTCATGGCATTAACTGTATACTCTCTTGATCTCTATTCTCCACAGCCTTTGTGACTAATCTCAAGATGTCCTCATCGGTGCGTCAAGACAGTGGTTTTATACCAGTTAAAGTTGGAGACAATGTGACTTTGCAATGTGTCAATGAAAGTAAAGCTGCAGTGATGTTATACTGGTATAAACAAAGTCTGGGACAGAAACCGAAGCGCATCTCTTCCTACTATAAATATGACAAAAGTGGCACTGTTATTGATGAATTCAAAAACTTTTCACGGTTTTCAGTCGAGATTATTCACGGTAAGAACCACCTGACAATCTCGGATTTACACATTTCAGACTCAGCGACTTACTACTGCTTAAGTTACTCTGCAAACAAGTTTGAATTTACAGAGGGTGTTACTGTCAGTGTAAAGGGTTCAGGATTGAACATCCAAGATTTGGTTCATCAGTCAGGGTTTGAGACCATCCAGCCAGGAGGCTCTGTGACTCTCAGCTGTACAGTACACACTGGGACCTGTGATGGAGAACACAGTGTTTACTGGTTCAAAGACTCTGAAGAATCTCATCCAGGATTCATTTACACTCATGGAGACAGAAATGATCAGTGTGAGAAGAAACCTGAGACACAAACACAAACCTGTGTCTACAATTTGCCGATGAAGAGCCTGAATCTTTCTAACGATGGGACTTATTGTGCTGTTGCCTCATGTGGACATGTTCTGTTTGGAAACAAGAAAAAGTTGGACTCAGCAGGTAAGTAACAAGATAACAGTGGTTTCATATATACTGTATATGCTATGATCACTCCTGACTCAATTTTCTAAAGCTCTGTAAAATCTCTTACTGTGTGTATCTGCAGATAAGGATGACTCATTTGTCTTGGTGTATTTGTTGAGTGGAGCTTTGGCATTCACCACCATCCCGGCTGTTTTGCTATCATATGCAGCATATAGAATAAACAAAAGCTGTCATCGTACAGGTAGGCAAACTGTCAGTTTTTACTTTTGATAGTGTTTTTATGCACTTAATACTGGAGGTAAAACACTTGAAGTTGATATATGATACAATGAAGTCAAACAAAGCAATACAAGACTGTCAGAAATCTTCCATATACATATTCCTTATTCCGAAGTTCCCATCATGTTTGAATAGTACATTAAAATCAAACGAAGTGATAC